AAGTTATATTATATCTGTTTGTTGGTGTTTCACAAATTATTTTCACCAGAATCATGACACTAAAGCACTCAAAAAAATTTGGGATTATTTGAAAGACAAATAAAAAATGGACGAGAACATTTGAAATATAAAAGTTCTAAACTTGATAAGGAAATTTGAGATAGAATGATACAAGAGTCTGAGACAATTAATGAATACTCAAGAAAATTATTGGATATTGTTAACAAGATAAAACTATTAGACAAAAAATTTTCTAATTCCAGAATAATTGAGAAAAATTTGTTAATTGTGCTAGAGAGATATAAAATATTTATTACTTCATTCAAAAACACAAAGGATTTCTTTACTAGAAGTGTTACATGCTATACAAGTATAAGAATAATGAATATTGATGAGAGATCATGTTATTGTTAAAGGTTCTTTACTATATCATGATGAAGGTTCACTCCAAGCAAAGAACAAAAAAGGTAAATCATGTATATTCTCTGTTTGTCCTTATTGCAAGAAAAATAATCACTCATACAATAAGTGTTATTGGAGGCTCAATGTAAAATATCACAAATACGGTCAATTGGGACATATAAAATAGATATGCAAAATACAACCAAAAGAAGTTATCAAAGGTTATAGAAGATAGAGTAGAAGGGGAACTTCTCCTTGCATTAACATGCTCTACAATCAACAAATCTACAAGTTGACTTATAGATAATAGTTGTACAAACCGCATGATTCATGATCGATAATGGAGAACAAATGAATGTAAAATGTATGAGAACAATTACAATTAAAAGTCATTCGAGTATCAAATTAATTTTTTATGTTTTATATGTTCCTGATATTAATCCAAAATTTGTTAAGTATTGCTCAATTATTAGAGAAAAGTTATAAAATGTCTTTTGAACACAAATTTTATGTGATTAATGATGCAAATAACAATATTCAAATTTCACATGAAAGGAAAAAGTTTTACTTTATATTTGATAAAAAAGGAGTTAACTACAAATGAAGATATAAAATAAAAGTCAGAAAAAAATATGATGAATATTTCTTGAAAAAACTTATGTTAAGGTGGAAAATAATGATAAAGATGAAGGAACAGTTTCCAATGCCATAAAAGGGTAAATGATACTACCAAGAAGTTTGAAAGAAGCAAAGGAGAAGAAGTTGATAAGGAAAAAAATATATTGATGAAGAAAGTTAAATTGAATGAAGATCTGATCACATACAATAAGGAGGATGACAAGAAGTACACAAAAAAAAGAGAAAGAATTTTAAACAAAATAAAACAAAGAGTATCAAATTCAAATAAACAGATATTAAAATAATGAGAAATGTTGAGAATATATGTTTTATTATCTTTTATTACGTATTAAGAGAATTTTTTGTCTCTTTTCAGATGAAGAAGATATTACATTATTATTTTGATTTAGGTAGTTATGATAGAGATATTGTTAATATTTGATATTTTGTCATATTTTTACCATATATATATATATATATATATATATATATATATATATATATATTTCATATATTAGAAATACACATACACAAAATCTTAATAATTCTCATCAAGTTTTACCATGTTGAACAAAATTACTAATGTAATTACATTATAAAATGATTGATGAGAAAAAAAACATCACAAAAAATATCATTGTCTTTATCCCCGAGAATTACCTACTAATAGAGAAATGAGAGAAAAACAATCAACATAATAATATAATGTGGAAACTCCAAAACAGAGAAAAATCATGACCTATATCCAATGATAATTAGATAATAACACTATGTGAAAAATTTTACAATACATAAACTATTCTCTCATGCCCTTTGACCCCAAATACACCCACCCTCTCCAAAGCAAAAATTTAAGCCAAACCTCATAATACTTTACTACAAGAGTATAAGAAAAGTCAAATACATGCTTAAAAATATTTTTAACCAAGGTGTCAAAACATCATTGATTTTAAGTCCATTATATAATTACTACCCATTTCATTAATTATCCAATGTGATGTGGAACTTTTCAAGATATATTATTTTCATCAACTCAATAATCTTCATCATAAGTAAAATAAACACATATTATTTTTTATCTCCATTGTTTATACTAACAATCATTCATACTTTACCATAAAGAGTATACTCACTTGAAATTAAACTATTCCAATAATTTTCTTTCACCGCATACATGCATCAATGCTAACCAATGTTTCTGTATAATCACCACACACCCTGGATTAATATTAGCCAATGCCCTTGCACAATTATCGCTAGTACTAAACTCATCATTTTCCATGACAACGCGGTTATGCCATGAGGATATTTAACTCCATGTCAGAAGTTATTCCTTTCAATGTCTTACGTAATTTAGATTGTATCAACACATCAATGACTTGAGTTTGCCACAAACCAAAATGGATCATTCCATCAAAATTCTCTATGTCACATTTGACAGCACTTGCAAATGACATTGCAACTTCAGCAATTAAGGATGATTATCTAAAAATAAGAAATTAATCTTTTCTAATGTGAAAGATCAGATTAAGTTGCAACCACAGAGCATATTAAGAATATCATACTGAATCATAAGCTTTGATATCACTCTGATGAAAAAAAAAAGTATGGAGAACATCATCATCTCTATTCCCGAGAATTATCCTACTAATAAAAAAATAAGAGAAAAAAATCAGCACAAGAATATAACGTGAAAACTCTAAAACCAAATAAAAATTTATTCCTGAGAATTACCCTGCTAAAAGAGAAATAAAAAAAATAATCAATACAAGAATATAACGTGAAAACTCTAAAATCGGATAAAAACCATAACCGTAATTCAATGATAACAAGAGAATAATACTATGTGAATTTTTTACAACACATAGATTACTCTCTCATGTCCTTTGACCCCAAATACACCAACACTCTCCAAAGCAAGAATTTAAATCAAACCTCACAACACTCTACTACTGCAAGGAAATAAGAAAAGTCAAATATATACTTAAAGTGTTTTTTACTAGGATATCAAAATATTATAACTTTAAGTCTATTATATAGTTACTATCACTCATTTTATTACTTATTTAATATAAGGTGGGATTTTTTAAGATATATTATTTTCATAAATTCAATAATGATGAACCATAAAATCTTTTGTCTTATTAATTAGTACACAAAAGCAATGTATTTTTTTTCACAAAATAAGAATTAACATTTCTTTCTACATATTCTTAACGTTAAACCAACTATCTCCTAAAATAAGAATTATCATTAATTTCAAACAATATCTTTAAAAAGAGTTGCTTACAAGAATTGCTTTAAGCAATTTCTACTGAAAATGTCCTTTAAAAAAAAACAGCACAAAAACTTTAAAATATGATCTTAAAAAAAAAAAAAATCGATTCCTAAATCATAAACCATAAGTTAAGCATCTCCTCTATTTAACTACTGGGACACAATTTTAAAGGAAAGCCTAACAGCATAGATGCAAAATCGAGAACTAGTCACCATTTTAGATTGCAATTCATGTTTTATGTATTGTATATTAAAAAAAATATGCTTTCAATCTTCTTATTAACATGGTATTTTAAAAGTAAGTATAGCATAACTCATTTACAAATAATGACACTTAATTAAAAAGAAAGTAGAACATTGCAACAAGAGAAATTACGTGTTTTGGAAGTTATAAATATATTTTGGAAGATGAAAGAGGAATTACGTGTTTTCAAAATAGAAAATCTCTATGTTGATGACTTCATAACATAAAATTATCATAAAAATATGTCTACCATGACTCAATAAAAGAAAATAAACCGCTACAACATAATCACTTAATAAACATATGGAAAATATAATTTAATATAACACATTTGGATAAAATCCATAAATATAATAATAATAATAATAATAATAATAATAATAATAAGTAAAATGATTATAACATTCATCTTAAATATCATATCAATTTTTAGTTTTTTATAAATAAAATACTTTCCTAGTCTTACTTATAAAAACGTAATAATAATTGCGAAGTAAAAAAAACAAAGATATTTGCTGTTCAAAAATCTTGAAAGGTTTAGAACTTATTTAATTAATTAATTTTTTAAAATTTTTAAAATAGTTGGTGAGATTAATTTTAAAAATTATTTTAAAATAAATTTTTAAAATGTTAATATTAATAATAATGAAAAATCATAATAAAAATTGAAAAATAATTTTTTATAATTTTATAATAATAAAACGGATATAATACAACATTTGTAAAAATATAAATATTATTAATAAAAACAAAAACCAAAAAGTAAAACATTTTTTTTAATTATAGTTTACATTTTTAAAAACTATACGACAAAAACTAAAATCTCAAAACGAAAATAATGTTTTATTAATTTAGATTTTATCGATTTTAAATTTTAAAAATACAAATCCAATTTTCAAAACTATTTTAACAAAATATTTATCAAACAATAATTTTAATTTTAAAAGTTAAAACCTATTTTTAAAAATAGGAAACAAGGAAATCCTTGTCATATTTTCAATTTTCTCCATAGTATTTCTCGTGGTATTTCTGTTAATAAATCACGGATTGACGTTTTTTCAAACATCATACTCCTATTACACATAACATGATTATCAACCTGATAGCATCGGTGAGAGTAAGAGAATGAGTAAAAAATTTCATTGGGTAAGTAAGAATTATAGCAACATCAAATACTTCATTAAAACTAGCTAGCTAAGAAACTAGTGAAAATACATGATATAAAACTATTTTCTTACCACTTCGATCAGTACTCACATAATTTGGGTAGCAACATAGGAAAAAGATGACCTATACTCACTGAACAACATCTATGTATCATCAAACAAGAGATCACTTATTATTAGCCTATAATATTTATGATGATATAATTAATCAACAAAACTTATGTCAGTTGAACAAATCTTGAGTGTAGAGAGATACATAAACCCCTATCACAGAAGCATCAGCACAAGTCCATTCACCAACCACGCTTGTTCAGAAAATCTTTGGTTCTCTTCCTCATCCGGGTGAAGACAATAACTACACAAGCCAAGATCCATGGAGGGAAGTTCACACTAGAGAAATTCAAGTTCTTCAACCAATCCGGAGTATCCTTCGAAACTAGTGTTATCATAAAGGTTATTAAAGCAACCCCCAGCAAAATCCTTGTCACTGGTTTAATTAGAGAGTCCTGAAAAAGAGAACTTTTCAGCCAATGAAAATTTTACTTGAATTACACATATGCTTTTATTAGGATCACATGAACTTCATTTCATAGACAGATACTCAACATGATAATGGCGGTTTGCAGCATCTCAATTTTAAAAAAAGAAAATTGAAGAGAAGTATCTACATCAGTCGTAAAAGAGAATACATAATATATATAATGTAAAATCCCTGATCAGTGATATGGCCTTCATGATTTTAAATTTTTATTTCTAGGTATTAATGATACTTGAGGGCCTATAACCCACAAACCTTGTTGCACTGAAAGAAAAAGCTTTCCCAAAAATTAGTTAATTAAAACCATGACAACATGATTTACAGATAATAAACAAACCTATTTTTTTATCACAACATTCATAAAATTCTCAGTGTAAAGCATTATGAACATTAAAAATAAATAAATAAATAAAATAATCAATTTACAATAGTTTTTTTATATCACCAAATATTTTAGCATATACAATGATAAAGGGCTCTAAAAGTGGAGCAATAGGCTAAAACTCAAGCAAAGGATTGATTCAATCCCTGAATCATACAACATAATGTCCATTCACCTAGTTTAACTCCTACCCTGCTAATTCCACCGACAACTCAAGTAACACCCGATGCTCATGCTCCCAATCGCATGAATCACTGTCTAATACTTTGCTAGTTCAATTGATAAGAAACGTCCTACTGTGTAGGTTTATGTTAGAAGGAAGACGGGTACAGAAGGAAGTTAAAAACCTGTGAATTATAATAGAACAAATAATGGTTTTGTTAGTTAGGAGAACAGAAAATAAATAGGTGTGGTATTTAGAGGGAGGAACATCGTAATGGTCAGTTTGTATTGGGAAGGTCCAGGTTCCTTGAATTACCTGGAGGATTCTTTCCTTCATTTCTTTAAACAGAAGTTTATTTTCCTCCCCCTGAAACAGTTTGCATCATGTTTGCTCACCTGACCAACCAACCGGAGCAGATTGAACATATAACTGCAAAATTGGGTACATATTGGCCGGTCATAAGTGCACAATAGTAATAATAGAAGATTCCCAATCTATGTCAATCATGAGTTAGGTCGGTCTGTTGCACAATCCAGCAATAAAACACCCCCTACAAATACTGAAAACTTCAGTCGATATGCATGATTTCAGCTCTCTAAACATCTTTATTCTTGGATTGCCACTAACATAGTGTTGGAGTGTTTTGTGTCCACATTGCCCACCATGGATTGACAACCATTTGATACTCCAGCATCGTAGTGCTGGTGATAAGCCACACTCCCAAATGGAGAACATAAGTATCCCACAGCAGGTTTTAGGATAAGAGGTGCTTATGAAAACTTCAAATGAATTCAAGTCAATTACACAACATCCTAGTGTACAATGGACACCTCTAAACAGCCTCGCATTCTTGATCCCTCCCAAAATCTGAAAAACAAAAGGATATGGGAGAAGCCAAAACTTTCCCTTTTTTTATTTTTAACTCAAGATATTTTACTAGATACTTCTTTGTTCCTTTTCTCCTGTTAAGAAATATTTTTTTGACACAAACATTTAAGTCCATTTGCTCCATCAAATCCTCTAGAAAACCAGTTTATATGAAGCAAATATATATATATATATATATATATATATATATATATGCATCTTTAACCAACTGCAAACAAGCAGAGTCTATCAGAAATCTCTTGCCACCATGACCGCTCAAAAGATATAATTTTCAACCCTCAGATTAATACAGTTAGCATTCATGGCTAACATATATGAATTATTGCTCCTGGAGGCCTCTGGTGATACGGTCTGTGCAATCCATAAATCATTACAATCTTCAACATTCTTATCCATACTCCAATACATAACACCAAGCACTATAACGATCAAGATTCAAGAACCCAACTGGATACTCTCATCCGTGACACGAGACAGAAAATTTCTAAATAATTTTCCCACCTCAACATATAGGATGTTGTTAGACAACAATGTTTTATTATTGCCGCAATCAACAACAATGTTTTATTATTGCCGCAATCAATTTAACATAACATCATCGAATTCTCCCCTCAATGCCAAACAACTAATGCTTACTTTCCACAGAATCCACATACCATTCATAAACTAATTGCCCGTTCCTTACTCATTTATCTTTTCAATCCTTATAATTTAAAAAAGAAAATGTTAGTTTTAGTCTCCCATTTTTAAATACCATTAAAGATCTTGCTTACATGACTAACAACTACAAATTACTTACATGGCAACCTAATTCGATTTTACATTGTCATCAAAGATTTAACCACATTTTAGTTTCCCTTTCAGAGTATCCAATTCAACAGCCTTTTTGGTTAATTTTCATTTCAATGTACTAAATTTGGACAATTAACGATTTCGCTTACACGACTAACAATTTTTAATAGTTTACATTACAACTTGCTCCGATTATGCATTTATAATCAAATTTTAACCACACTTCAGTTTTCCCTTGAAGTATTCATTTTCACATTGTTTAGGTATAAGGCATCTGAACACAAGACAAATCAACATAATTACTAAAATAAACTTCTCTTCTTTTCTTTTTTGTCAAACTACATAGACTAAAATAATCAATTTCAAGTTTGAACTACCAAACACAGTTAAATCAAAGTTTCTAAATACATACTTATACTTTTAAGAAAAAACAAACATACCTTAGGTTCTCCATCAAGGTAAACAACAGCCCCATCCCTATACGTCAAGACAGACCTCCCATTCCTGGGATGGAATCGGACCGGAACGCCGCGCCCCCCGGCTCGGGGATTGAACGCGAAGACCGACTTGAGTCCATGCTTATCTAGAATGTCCCGGACCTCGAGCTGGTCCTGCTCCCACCCGCCCAGTGCCGACTTGAACACGGCGATGGGGCCCTTGCCCTGCCGGTAAAGGTGGATCTCCGCCTCCGGGACCTTTGTCCGCACGTGCTTCTCCCGCTCGCTCGTGCGGGGAGTCAAGTTCTCGGGAGGATTCACGTCCACCTCCTCGATTTCTCCCACTACCAGGGGCGTCTTGAGATCGTCGTCCATGATAGGTTCAGTTGAGGCGAGGACGTGGGACGTGGATCTGAAGGAAGTAGAAGGGATTGTTGTTGATTTTGCGTGGAATTATGTGTGTTTTGTTCCTTGCGGGGTATTGAAGTTTTGTTGGATAGTTGGTGGAAGACTTGGGAAGAGGGATAGAAAGTTAGAAGAAAGTGTTAATTATAATTTCTTTATTTCTCCTTCCTTTCGAGTAATTTATTATCTACAAGTAGGAACCAAGGTACAGATATGTCTCGGTTTATTTTTTATATTATTAATTTTTTTAAATAATTATTTTTTAAATTTTTATTTTGTTTTTATTTTTCTCTTTTATATATCACATTTCATTCTCTCTCTCTCTCTCTATATATATATATATATATATATATATATATATATATATATATATATATATATATTAATTAGAGGGAGAAAAATGATACTTAAATCTTTTTTATAAATAATTTTAAAATATCTTATTTTATTAATAAAAATAAAATAAAATAAATGTCTAAATAAATATGGACTTTTTTTTCCTCTCATAAGAATTTTTTATTTCTTCCCTTTGCTCATTCCTTTCTTATTCTTTTCTTTTATATTTTATTATCTTGTTTTTCTCTTTCATTTTCTTTTTATTTTATATAATTAAACTACTATATTGAAATTTAATAAAAATATTTTAAAATCAATATTAAAATTAAATAAATATCAATTAATTATTTAAAATTATGATGATAATAAATATTTTTATTTATTATGACAATAAGTAATTTTATTTATGATGACATAAATAATTAATTTAAGAATATTTTAATAATAAATAATTACTCATCTAATTAAAAAATATCAAATCAAATATTTATGAGTTAGATGTATTTTTTTACTTAGTAATTTAATCTAGGTATAATTAGGTTGAATTATGATAATTAGTTAGATTAGATAATTTAAAAAAAAATTATTAAAAAATTACTTTAAAATAATTTTTTTTAATAATTATAACAAAATAATAATATTTTTTAATATCTCAAATTTATGTTATAATATTTTTTTAAAATGTAATATATTAAATTATAGTATTTCTACTTCATTTAAATATTTTTATTTTTCAGAAATAATAAAAGATTTATTTTATTAAATTACAATTTTATATTTTTAATTGAAAAATAAGATGGAATCAGATAAAAAGAAAACAAACAGTAGATAAAGATAAAGAAAATAGAATAATAAGAGGCAAATAAAGATAGAGAAAATTGAGAAAAGAAAAAAAAATAATTGTATCATGTAAGATAAATTTATTTTACCTTATTGAATTTTCTGTATGATATAAATTAAGGTTTAAAGGTTAATCACGTTCAATAAGTTTCAATCGGATTAATAAAATAATATTTTTATAATATAATAAATTTATTAATAATAATATTTTTTATAAAAAAGAAAAAAATAATAATAAAAAATATTAAATATAAAATATATTAAAGAGTGAAATATAAATAATTATTAAAATAAGATAAAAATATAATAAAATAACTATTATTTAAAGTTAATCTAATTAATACGAGATAAAAAAACTAAAATATATTATATCTTTTATAAAATAAGAAACTAACTTATATCATGTACTTTAGAAGAATTAGTCAATGTTGTTTTAATTTTTATTTTCCATTTGTTAAATATTAGAAGATAAGGGGTTTTGGAGTTTTAGATGCTAAAAATATAAATAAAATTAATAAAAGTTATTTCCTACCGTAAATCAAAGATTATAAATGAAAACATCATAAATCTAAATTATTAAAGTATTAAAGAAAAGTTATAAATTGTAGAAATATTAAAGGAAAATAACTAAATTTACTATATGAAAATTGTAAATATAAAGCAGCAAACAAAAACATTAAATCTATCTTTTATAAATTATTTAACATTCTAAAATCTAAGGAAAACATTTTGCATGAAAATTAAAAGGGAAAACAAAATTGAAATGGAAATTTATAAGAAAAACTATGAAGAATAATGTAAGAAACAATAGAAACACAAATGTTAAATATTGAATCATCATTTATTCATATGATTATCATATATTTCTAGAACTTGTATTATAATAATAATAACAAATTTACAAAAGTTTCAATTAATTACAATTCAATTAAAGTAAGAAAATACAACTCAATTTCTAAATATTAAATTATAATGTAAAAGAAACATTCAATCAAATAATCTCAATTATATTGATTCCAATGAATTAAAATTAGTTAAAATTATTAAGAATAAAATATATTTATACAACAACAAACAACAAACATGTTGAATATATGCAAGATTCATTCAAGGCTCATAATTATCCAATTACATAATAGATAACTTTAATTTCGCTTCTACATAATTGAAGTTTTGCAACAAATTTGTTGGGCGACCACTTTGCTCACTCAGCTAAATTGGTAGTTGTTATGGTCAAAGAGTGAAGGTGAGGGTTCATGTTTTAGACCTAATTTGATCTAGATTTTACGGGTCTTTTGGGTCAATAGGCTAATAGCGTCATTCTGTAATCAATAAATATAAGTTCCGAAAATATGTTTGGAGCTAGATATATGAAGTAAAACATAGGGGTGAGATCAATGAACAAGATACTCGGAACGAGTTATGCTCAACTTAATACCAGATGATAGGGGAATGAGTTATTCGATCACTACGAGTAATTAAGTTAGTTGATGAAAGATAACTTCCTACATTAGCGAAAAACTCTATCCATTAAGCGAAATTCTTCACTTGCTTAAATAAATTTTTAGAATAAAACTTTATATTTTTCTTTAATTTATCATTTTTATAAAAATAAACAATTAATTAGTTAAAATATATAATTTAAATACAAAGATATTTATTTATTTTCTATAAAAAAATAAAGTTAAAATTTAATAATTAATTAAATAAATATACTAAATATAAATAAAATATACTAATAAACTATGCTCATCAATGATCTCTTTTATTAATGTTATTAAATTGTTTAATAAAAAGTGTGATATGACTTTGAAGTATAGTCATAGTCATATTTGATAATATGATATTATTGTAATCTTATATAATATCGATTGATATGAAAATGAGGATTTGCTAACATAAGAATATTCCAATGCAAATTGGTTAATATTAATTGTTTGAAACAAATTTTTATTATAAGAATTGTAAATGATAAAATAAATTACTTAAAAATGTTTTGTTACTTGCTTCTTCAGCTTAAAGAGAGAAAATAAATTATTTAAAATTTTCTATTATATCAAAATCAATTATCATTTATGTAAGTACAATTTGATATAATAAATTTCTTTTATATTTTTCAAGATGAAAAATAATTAATACGAGTTGCTTATGTTGGAGTTGGCCTAAATGTGAATTACACTTCAATGTCACGTTAGTAAATATAATTGTGTTAAGCTCATGTTGCACTTAAGGATGGTAACATGGATTAGTCTATCTTATGATTGTCTTGTATAAAATAAGGTAGAATGTGCTGACGTAATACATCTGTCGATCCCGAGTTATCCAAACCAATTTGCATAATAATTTAAAAAAAAACTTTAACACATTATATAATAAGCATATTATTTACATTATATAATAAACATATTATTTGTCATATTATTTTCTTATAATTTCAATTTACAAAAAATATAATATAATATAATAATATTTTCTTGCAAGAAGAAAACTTAATTAAATATTTTTTTCTCTTCTTATTTAATAAATTTAGTTCTTAACTTTATAATTTCTCTATTTATTATTCTCCACATTTGTTTCAAATAATTTGAGATTCCCGTAATTATGATACAATTCTCTCTAAATATAATTGATTTTAAATTAAATTAAGAATTTCTAAACAACATATTAATTTATTAAGAAAAAACATCCCATAGTTTGAACCATACAAGCTGCCAGAGGCAGATTTTAGGGATATGCACGGATAACGACCCTCCCACCCCAAACCAACTTTATATATATATATATATATATATATATATATATATATATATATATATATATATATATATATATATATATATATATATATATTAAAATTAAATAAATTTTATTTTATAAATATATAAATAAAATTTAATTTTTTTCTTTTTTTAATTTATAATAAATATCATATTTCTTTTACCTTTTTTTTCTCTTTTTTTTAGATTTCTATTTTTTTTTCTTTCATATTTTCATTTTTTTCTTGCAATTTTTTTTATTAGACATTTTTATCTTTTCACATCTTTATCTCTTATTTTTATCACTCATTAACTCATATTTCTCTCTTTCCCAGATTCACTTTCAAAATTGTAAATTTTTTCTCTTAAATTTTCAAATTTATATTTTTTTTTACAATTTCATCTCTATAACATAAAAATTGTATTTTTATTTTATTTTTTAATTTTTTAGTCTTATATTCAATAAAACATTTTTTTTATTTTATCTATAAGACATAAAAATTATATATATTTTTTAATTGTTTTATTTTTTTCTATTCAAAAAGGTATAAAGACAAGAAATAAAATAAAAAATAAGAAAGATATTTCATAATAATTTTTTAAAATAAAAAAATAAATAAATTTACTTTGTTTATTTATTATTATAACAATAATATATAAAAATATAAAATATTAATATATTTAATTTATTTATTATGAATTAATTAATTGTTTTGATGTTTTATAATAATTTATTTTGATGTTAAGATATAAAAAAATTAATTTAAATTTTAAAATATTTAAAAATAAAATTATAAACTTTTTTTTATATAAAAAATAGTTAAAATAAATATTATTTTTTAAAATTTAAATAATATTATTATATATATTATTTATTTATTTTTATATAATAACTAATTTTTATATATTGTTCTCTTAGTATAAGTTACGAATAACGTAGTCATACCTAAACGAATTTCAATTTTTAAGATTTAAAATTTAGAACTTGTCAACCGTGACCCGCCCTGCATTATCACCTTTAGTTATACTTCAATAAAT